TTATGCACGATTCTATTACCCGTTACAACAAATAGTGCAGTGAGCCTAGAGAACACATAAAATTCATAATTCATCAAACGAAGATCACCTGGTCCATACGACGCGTGTATGGAACCGCTGATAAACGCAGCATCCAAAAATAATATATTACCATCTCCTTGATCGCTCATCTCCGGTCCTTTCAGATCCGAGAAAGTCGAACCCTCAGAAATCTCAACGTCAACGTCAACGTCAGCGCCGGACGCAAAAGAGCCCCAAGAGTACAGATCAGAAGAAATGGACCGCCGCGCGAAATCCCGATGATCCGCGTCCTCTCGGTAATCTCGTCCCTGAGATTCCCACACAGTTCACAGCTTCGGATACAAGAGATAGTGCTTCGTGGTAGATCGTCCTTATCCCCGTACAAAAAGATCTCGACGATCCAGGAACGCCAGTCAGTATCAGGATCGTCTGGATCATCCTTGCCAGGAAGACGTCAAGACCGCCCTTAGCACTGGCACAATGCACGTAGACGGACGAGGAGTTTCTTTGAAAATGGAGAAAAAAAATTGAAGTGATCAAAAAAACAGGTTTAGAGGTTAGGTTAATAAGATACATACCTTACCTAGGTAGGCTTCATAGTCTTGAGGTAGAAAAGTGGATTTTCAGGTAATCCTTTTTTCTAAGTCAATTCCTTCCTTTATACCCCTATACTCCACGAACTGACAGACCTGTCTGTTGAACATTTTTTTTTCAATACTTCTTCCACCATTTCGTATGAACTTCTAGGTCTTTTTCTATTTTTCTCTCTCTCTCTGACTTTTTTACTTTTTTTTTTTTTTTTGTTTCATCCACCTTCTTCTCTACCCATCCCTTACCCAACTTTACCGTATCTTGCACGCTGCAACGACCCAAGACTTTTAAGGCACAATGCGAATTATGGTCGATGATGACGAATATTTATGATTTTACGAGGTTTATTGCTTTACGAGCAACCATAAGATTCGAGTCTTCGTACACGCGAAGGACGTGATGGCTACGGGGATGATCCTTTGCACGTTGCAGAATCCTTTTGTTGTTACGTACGGGACTTAAGGTATATACTCTGGAGTGTACGCGTGTATGATATATATATATATATATATATATATGTACCGTAAGAATTTATTATATAACCATGACCGAGCATTGGATTCCTAGGATTTCAGAAAACCGTTAGGAAGTAGGACGATTCCATCTAGTAGTATTGGAGCTTCAACCCAAAAAATCGCTCAATGGAAAATTCGTCGTGAAATTGACGATTAGCGATTCCGTCGCATGTACCGTAAGAATTTATTATATAGATCCTTTGCACGTTGCAGAATCCTTTTGTTGTTACGTACGGGACTTAAGGTATATACTCTGGAGTGTACGCGTGTATGATATATATATATATATATATATATATGTACCGTAAGAATTTATTATATAACCATGACCGAGCATTGGATTCCTAGGATTTCAGAAAACCGTTAGGAAGTAGGACGATTCCATCTAGTAGTATTGGAGCTTCAACCCAAAAAATCGCTCAATGGAAAATTCGTCGTGAAATTGACGATTAGCGATTCCGTCGCGACGGAAGGCGTTCGATGAGAATATTGTTCGAAGCCGGGATCCACGTTCTCGAAACCCTGATAGTCGTTCGTGAGAGAGTAGCGATGAGTCTGAAAATTGTGCGACGGAATGAGAGCAAAAGTAAGATGAAAAAAAAAAATGGACATAAAGGTCTGAGAATTCGAAAATAAAGAAACGAATTTTTCGACTGTGACGATTGACAATTTTTTTTCTTTTTTTTCTTTTTTCTTTAATTTATTTTTACCTCTTTCTCGGGCCCGCGGCATTCCTCTTGTCTCAGGACATTTTTATTGAAATGTCTTTCCGGGTTCAAGCGCATAAATAGTACAGCGGCAGACCGCGAGTCCTTCCCGACTTGTGTCGCAAGTCGCTTGCAACAAGATAGAAAAACGGTCCCTGAAACGACGCCTTGCTCCGTTATGCAACAGATCGGTATACCGATGGCGGTTTATCGTTTACGTAATTCCTGGCAAAAATACAGTAAATCCATTGACGTTAATCTGACAGCGCTGCCACATGTCCACTTGGATATCAAGCGACTCGATCATTTTATTAAATTAAGTATAAAATCAAATTCCTACCGATTTTTGGTATCCGAATCGAAAGATAAATCACTCTTGACAAATCGGTAAAAAATTATCATGAAAAAATGCACCTGTAGATAAAAAAAATATTCGCGAGAAGGTGGGGGGTTCCACCTAGGAATTTGAGCTGTCGATATGTCTGTCCTTCTTCCGTGCATGTAAGTGCCAATAAGACTGTCTCTCTCGCACTCGCGGCAGGTATAGGAAATTGTGAAACGCGATAAGTTTTTCAGCTAGATAGCTCAAAGTCCGTAGTTCGAGATAGGAGTCCCTCATGATCCATACGTAAGTGCATTTCCTGAAGGACTTCCTGAAGGATCTTCTGGTCCATCTCAGGAGTCATATATCACGAATGATGAGTTTACGACGTCATCGTATAGCCATCATGCTCTCCTTCGTCCTTTCGCGTTCGCGCACAAAGACCTTGAAGATTTACAATCCTTGGACCAGGACCTGTGACTAGGGGTAGGTACGTCCTATGCCTGCAGAATGTTACAGGACCTTATACAGTTTTACGGTACGTATACCTATATATACATAGTCTTAAAGAAAAATGTCTCTCTCCTCGACGACTCTCTCTCTCGTCCGACGATTCTTTCTCTCTTTCTCATAAGAATCTTACCATTGTCCTCTCTTTCCTTTGGGATCATCTTTGACGCGGTTGGCAGGCAACTTCTTCTTGCTGGCCGCGAAACGGCACCCGGAAAAGTCAAGCTTTAATGCAACAGCCACCCAGGAGTCCCGAACGCTCATCTCCCTCTTCCTCAAGAGTCTTCAGAAGTCCTGAGATCTACGACCAGAAACATTTGGACTCGTTCACAGGACCTCATGCTGTCACGCCGCTGGGATCCTGTCAACATCAGCACCGGGATACACGACGGAGGCTGCTGACAGGATCTGGATGGACTTACGGGACTTTTTTTTTGGTACCGGTACCTACGTCTTGTTCAACGACAACAAGTCAGGTACAACAACAACAAAACTAATAGTTGATGATTATCTTGAAATTTTTCTTCATCCAATCAACTGTCACTAATATTTTTCAGAAAATTTTGGACTCCCAAAATTTGAACGATTCTTCGCCATATCTTCCCTGTCCGATGACCTCGTGATATACGATTTTGAAAAAAATTTGATATGCAACTATCCGCGGTAAAAAAAATTGTTTGACGTTGCCGATCGACGAGAGCTGCAAATCACCCGGTACGAATGCAAATACCAAAGCCAGTCAAAACCGCAATTACTTTTGATCCTGAGGTACCATCCGGTGTACCAAAAGATATTTATGGTTCCCATCGAACCGCAATTTCATATGGAAACCTTCCTTATTATACGAACACCAATATTTATGGTTTTGGCTCTTGGCGAGTACCGCGCAAAAGGGGTGGATTATTTACAGCACTTAACGGGATTTTCATTTTCCTCATCTCATCTCACCAATTGTCCAATTCTTATTTCAGATCCTTTTTACCGATCTTCTCTTTAGCCGATTTCATCTCCTCCATCGAGACCATCCTCTTCGTCCTTGAGGTCGTAGGATCGCAGCTTCCCGGCTGCGGATTCGCAACGATTCTAACGGGTGACACGACTATCCTTGAGACTCTTAAAGGATCCTGCGGTCTTCGTCGCTTGCTACCAGCCGTCAACGGATCCTTCCAAGTAGCCATGAAGACATTAAGAAGTTTGTTTGTCGGACTCGCACGGCAGGATTTCTGAATTTCGTCAGGACCTCTTTTCTGTATCCGCGCAGGACACCCCGAGTGGACGGCACGTTAACGCACCTCGGGTGGTCCTTTAACGTTCTTACAGGATAATTCGTCTCCGCTGCACGGTTTGCGTGTTTGCTCGTCCCGGGCTGACAGGATCTTCACCTCGTCAGGATCCTGACAAACAGGACGATAATAAACGTTGATGGAAGATCAGTGCTTTTGGAGGTACTGTTTTTCTACGTTTTCTTTTTCATTATTTTCTAGCTCACTTTTTTTTTTCTTTCACCCCCCTTCTTCCTTTCAATCCCCCCTTGCGCATTCCTCGCCATTCATCCCATCCAACCCCCAACTTCGAATTTCATGGAACGAATCGAAGTTTGGTGACGAGAATATTTTCTTACTTTTCTCCAGCTCTGTCTCTCTTTCTTTTTTTTCTTCCTTCAAAACCCTGAGACGCTTTTGGTTTGATGTATATATATATACTGTCAACGCGTAACCCCTGTGGTGATATACAGACTCCGTGTTAGATAAATATATCTATACGCTGATTTCTTGCAGGACTTCTGGAACACAAAGGACTATGACGTACCGTGGACAGGAAAGAGTCACTGATTGAACAATTCAATCCAAGATGGTACAGTCACGGATTGATCGGTATGTCTTCCGTACCGCACGCTGAGATCTTAATTATATTTTAGTTGGCAATACGGAAAGGTAACGGATACCGGTTGCGCGATTCAATTTCAATTTTCTTTTTCCTATGCCATCCGATTTTTGGATCGATGCAAATTTTTTTCAAATTTTATCCTACGATCATCGAAAACGAAGGAAAATCGGTATGGAATCGTCGAACTTGTATGTCTCATGACGGATGTTACTACGTAATCATCTATCGGTATGTCCGATTGATTGGCGACGGTAAAAATCGGCACTCGACAATCCGCCATGTTGTGACAGTCTGGTGGATATTTCGGTAGCCGGTGGTGCAAAGGGGGATGCCTTTTGTTTAGCATCCTGTGCAATGGATGCATCGTCACTTCCGGAAGAAGGAGTACCTAATACGGTTTTCAGTATATATTGTGATTATATAGAAAAATAAATTAAAAAAAAAAAAACGTAAAATCGTTTCAGTGGTAATCGGCAAGCGTGCGTGAATATATCGTCGTTACGGTATCACGAATAGAGCTGTTATCGCGGATTGGTGAGTAAATTATTTATTGATAATTTCAAACTATAAAATTAATAAATAAATTTATCGTTATTTATAACGCTCAAATGTCATATATCGATTTATAGGTATTTAATGTCCGCAGGACGATCGGCAACAGACGCGCAACTGGTTATCGGTATCCGAATGCGTGCGATTGTCAAAAGTGCATGAGCTGTGCGAATATAAAAAATAGTGTTGAAAAAGTAGTGGGAAGCGGCGCAGCCTCATATAATTCAAAAGTAATAAAGTCCAACTGGAATCGCGTAAGTGGCTTGAGAACAGTGGGCGTGACCGGAGGCAATTCCGTACTAAAGGAACCTCCGATTGGCTGTTCCAGACTGCGAACAGGTAGCTGGACTGTGCCCCTCTACCGGATGACTTGTTCTTGGTTCCTGACGGCAGACTATCCCACTACTGACAGTTGGCAGGTCTTTTCTGATTCTGTAGGCGGGGCTTGATCTTAGTTAGCCAAGATCGTCACCAGCGCAAAGTCAGTCAGGATCACGAAGCGGATCGGTTAAGATCGTTCCTCGTCGCTCGTCGTGTTACGACTTTCGCGCGCCGGTAGCAGTTATATTTATTTATTTTTTTTTTCTTCGACCGAACCTTCACACCTTTATTTTCAACACTCTCTACGGTCGTCAAAAATTTTCGATGGTCTCGGCTGTCTCACCGGACACCGCGTAGATCCGGATTTTTCATCCTGGGTTCATCCGAGTGACTCTGTGCATCTTCGAGTTCCAAAATCTTTATCTTGGACTACTTCCGGCACCAAAGTATACCGCGCAGTTGTTTTCGCATCCATATACGGTATCGTTCGGAAAAATTGAAAAAAAAATTGGTTCGGTCCATTTTTTACGGATACCGTCAAATCTCCTTTTCTCTTTTACTTCTGTCCCATCGAGTCTTACGATTTGTACTCGTCCGATTTTTTTATGCCGAGTGTGTGCTGTGATCCTTATTGCGAGAGGCAAGTCTTGTAGAGTGACTTGGGACTACGTGAAATGACGGTTACCACCAACTTCTCGATGATGCGACCCTGCTTCACTGGATATCCATTCCAAGGTGAGTGACAAAAAAAAAAATTTCTTGGATTTTCGACTTTTGCATGAAAAAATATGGCGACAAATTTTTGAAGAATTTTTTCATTTTTCCAAATTTTCAACCCGATCGCTAAACGAGCGTAGCATCGTCATTAATGACAGTCGTAAATTAAAAGACCTTTTCTCTTTACCTGCTACCTTTTTTCATAACCTCATTCTCTTCTTACCAACAAAGATCTTACGAATTGCACAACTTCGTCTACTGGCTGACTATGGGACCTTAAACCGAACCTCGAAAATTACAGGTCCCGTCAAAAGTCCAAGAACGACGTCCTGAGGACTTACAAATTTTCCGTGAAATCTTTCTCCTCGTGTTAACCATTGTCCTTTTAAGAGGCGTAAAATCTACTATGGAGAACTTGGGGGTGCACGTTGTCTACGTGTACCTTGTACGGGACCCGGGTTACCCAGGTTTAGGGCACCCCCCATAACTCATCCCGAAACAGTCCATCCCGTTCTGCGTATCCCATGCCATTGCCCATCCCGACGCAGGAGCTCAGGAGCACTTAGAGAGTAGTTGATGAAGCTCCAAAAAAAAAGACAAATTTTGTCATTTTTGTCACGCCATCGAAAGGTTCATCCCTTTGAAAAAAATTTACCCTCAAAAAAAATGGATGCATTTTTTCATACTCGAGTCCTACCCGTCGCTCCAGTAGATATTCGCCATTAGTCGCTCGACCGTCGGACGACTTGGTTACTTGATCTACTCGAAGCTCGTAGATTGGCCTACCTTAATTACCCCTGTTCGTATTGACGAATGTTGTTGATTTGAAACAATTTTTTAGTTGGACTATCAATTTTGACTTTTTTTCTTTTTTTTTATGTAAATTTCTTTATCTCTTCCCAATCATTCGCTCTGTGAATACGAACAGTTTCGTATCTAAAAAATAATTGCATACTCGTTTTACGGCTAATGTATATCTACACATCTGAACGTTACCAATGCAATGAAATAAGCCAAGCAAATTATACGGTATCATTGTTGTGTGCCTCGTAAACCCTCGGATTCATGTTCGACTTATCGTTAGCAGTTACACTGACTTTATGCACTGGCATTCGCAGTGGACGTAATACTTTGTGCAATCAAAGAAGGACGGGACCCGATAAGAGTATTATTTCTTAGCAGCGAGTGGAATGCAAAAATGATGGAATTTTATAGCTTTTCATTCTTTTTCTTTTTCTTTTTTTTTTATTAATTTTTACAATCGCGCATGCGCAGTCGCTGATCGATAGAAGATGTTTAACTGTATGGAAACATGCTGCGACACAGGAAAATAGAATTGATCGATGAAAATTGAAAAGAAATTTTGTGCGATAACAGCAATGGGCTTTTCGACGATAAGAAATTAATGGGGCGGTTCAAAAAATAAAAAAAAAAGTTTGTTAGCAATTGTAGGTTATGTAACGATGCATTCGCGTGATTGGGGTCTGGTGTATGCATATGATTTGATTGGAATTGGTAATTTTTATATTTTTTTTATGATTATTGTACTATCACTGATAACGAGAGTGGCCTTGTTAATGATTTTTTTTTTTGAGATTGATATATGATTATTTTTTTTAAATACTAACTAATGTGGGTGGTCGGTTGAGAAATTAAAAATTTTTTTGGTAACCTTAATTTTTGTAATTATTTACAGATCTGGGTTCGATACCGGGTCAGGGCCGTGTCAACCAATTAGGTGGTGTCTTTATAAACGGTCGTCCATTGCCAAATCATATTCGGCTAAAGATCGTAGAAATGGCTGCGGCTGGTGTACGTCCCTGTGTGATATCGAGGTGAGGTTAAAAAAAAAGTGGGATGCCCGATAAAAATAATTTTCGAAAATTATTGAAGAATTTGAAAAATGTTGCAATCGATGAATAAAAAATTTTTTAACGCTATCAACAGGCAACTGAGAGTATCGCACGGCTGTGTCTCGAAGATCCTGAATCGCTACCAGGAAACCGGAAGTATCCGTCCAGGAGTCATTGGCGGTAGCAAACCCCGCGTAGCCACGCCGGAAGTCGAAGCGCGAATCGAGGAATACAAGCGCGACAATCCCGGAATATTTTCCTGGGAAATTCGGGACAGACTCGTCAAGGAAGGAATCTGCGACAGGACCAGTGCACCCAGCGTCTCGGCCATCTCCAGGTTGCTGCGAGGACGCGATCCCGAGGACGAGGCTAAATTGGGTGACGGTGAGTACCGACTCGACGGATACGATCAGCCGATAAAATAAAAAGACGATAACGGCGGTGAAATGAAAAATTTTAATTAATCATGGCGGCTCGCGATGAAATTTTTTTTCAAATCACATTTAATCGTCATCCGATCTCTGCTGTGTACGGCGAAATTCAGAAATTTTTTTTAGATTTAAAAGCATACCTATATCGGGTGTACCTACGTAATCGTTGAATATAATCGTCCTTGAATCGAGCGAGGATTAATGGTTTTTCTAGGTTTTTTTTTTCTTTTCCTTTTTCAATCTCCTTTTCTTTTTGCCACTGCAAACAGTCCGCGAGCTATGGTCGCGTTTTTCGAGCCTTTCAAATTACCACGAAAACGAACTCCAGTTGGAACAACTTGGAATTTCGTCGTAACAATTGGCAGTTGGTAACAGTTGACGTGGCTGAAAAAACAAAAACAAGATTGCGTGTACGACAATACGGATTGTATGATGTTAAATAATTTTGTGAGATCGTTCGCAGTTGCAGAGTGCACCGGGTACAATTTGTTAGTCTTGTTTGATAGGACGGGAATTGTGATTGGTCGATAGGAATAGCTGGGGGCGTGGTTTCCAATTGTGTACGTAACGACGTAAGGAGTATCGACGAGGTTTTCCCCCGTCTAACGTAGTTGTCGGACTAATGTGACAGAGTGAATAAATGAGGTACAGGCCCCCCCCCCCCC